CATTTCTAGAAGTGTCCAATACTTACACAAAAGTTTCAAAATGGTAATTTAACCGGATTTGCTTAAAGGAGAGTAGGTCTAGAAAAATACTGTTTTCCAAGGAGGTCACTCTAAATGGATTCTTTATTTGGTTTGATAATCAGTTTCAACTTTACACATGGCTGCCACAAAAAAGATAAGGAAAAGCATAAGAGGCCAATTATAAAAGTTACAAATGCACACTATATCAGTCATATTTCATCTCTAAAATTACAAATAATAACACATCATAAATAAATAGATTTTACAAGACATATTTCTAAACTAATATAAACAAATGTCAAAGTAAACCTGAAACTAGATTCTAAGGTGTTTGCTTTTTTTTCACATTTTAACTGGATGTCTTACTACAGATTGTTCTTTAAAGCAGAGGCTCTTCCCACAGTTCCCAAAAAACTATTATTTTTTTAAATGTTAATTCTTCTAACTGATGGCACTTTAGCGTCACTGGAATTCCCCAGAATCCTGGCTGCAACTGTTGCCTTAAGCCTTAAGTTTTCAAAATGTTTTGAAAATAATGCACTTGTGTTATATTTACTTTATAGTAGAAATCCTGAAAGGATTAATGAATAGATCAATCTAATTTGTAATTAATAACATTAATTTGCATGGTGTTCACTAAGTAAGTCCTGATAAGAATTTGTTCTCTATTTATTATCTATGCCCAAATCATGTTGTTTATAGTATTAATTACATCAGCAGACCCCTTTCTTCACATCCAGTGCCAATGTAAACTCCAGCCACCAAACAAGGAAATTTAGTCAAAGTTTCAATTAGTGACACTGAATTAATGCAGTTTTACTAAATTCAAATGGAAAACCAAATACATGGAAAAACTCAACTGATTTCAACAAACATCAGTAAAATAAAGTCACAATGAGCTCTTCCTGACACACAGCAAAGAAATGGCATTATTTAATATTCTAAGAACCAAACATGACAGTTATCACTGATATAGCATATTTTTGTTTTCTTTAATTAAGTAACATTACCAGCCTCTCTCAGCTAGAAACACTAGTGGCATGAATCCCTACTTACTTAATATTCCATTTAGCGACAATTGTCTTGCTTACAAGATATTAGATATCTTTCCAGAATTTCTCTACCTGTACTTTGTCTGCACAAATACTATATAAGCTGACAATACACAGAAAGACAGCTCTGATTTTGGGGGGTTTTTGTTTTGTTTTGTTTTTTGCAAGAGTCAGAGGCAATCTGGCACAAAGCAGAAGAGTCTCCAATCCAAGGGTTTTGACAAATTCCTCAAAACACCCCCCAGGAACTGACCCCTCAACAACTTGCCACAGTATCTGGCATGTCTAGCACTCAAGCAATCTGGATTAAGAGAAAAGGCACATGACAAAATACCTGAAGATGGGAAGAGAGGAAAGGGCAAGAGATGAAACAAGGCAGCAGACTCAACACGTGCAGGTCAATTTCCTCCGCGTGTTTAACAAAGTCCCACAGACCACAGGGAATGTTAGGGCCACAGAACAAGAGTTAAAGGCAGGACCAGGCAGAGAGACATGAAGGGAAGCTAGAGTTTGGAATGAGGCCCATGGAGCACCACTGAAGAGAAAAGCCACACTAGGGGTGTAATGGGGGGACAGGGAAACAGTCATTCTTCTACTTATCGCCCTTTGTCTTTTGCCTTATAATTATACAAAGTTTTCCTTTTTAAAATGTCAAACAGTAAAGGGATCATGTTACTCTGATTTCCAACAAATGGCACTACCAATTTGTTTCCTCTAAATTTTTATACTTTGCACTGCTTTTATTCCAAGAACAGTCAAAATAAAACCGCTCCAGTTTAGCTAGATGAAGTAACTTTCTTTCTGATGTTATCTAAATGAACGCTTTCCCTCTCCAATGCTGCCATTCCCTTCCATTTTTTTAGGTTTACAAACTGACCACCATGTGTGAACACCTTCAAGAAGATGCTGAGTATCTGAAAAATTACACAACTGAGACTAAAACTAAGCCTCCTTACCTTTCTAAAGTTGTATTTTGGAAACACAAATCAAGAAAGCTGTCACATCATCGCATTACTACAAACAAAACCACAAGCACAGCTTTATTTGTAAACAGCAGTCTAATATACAATAAAAGTCAGATCACAGTAATGAAGATAACTATAAACAAATGCCACGGCCTGCCACAATAATAATGATCCAAGTTCTTATTCCCATGTGTGAGTAAATATTATCCATACTTCTTAAAATGAAAAAATGCTTATGGAACACAAAAATTTCCCTTGCCTACATTAAAAAAATGAGTCAATCTCAGATCACTGAGATAAAGTCTAACAAAATTTAAAGTCATGGCTTCATAGCTTCACGAATTATATCTTATCAAATTTTTTAAATGTGAAAAATCTTTTGGTAATCTGCTTTCCATTCTAAAAATGTGTACTTTCTACTTTCTAAGTATATACATATATATTCATGTGGAAATGCTATGTCATAGAAGACTGATAATCAAAACAGATTATCATCTCAATTAATTGTAAAACTCACAGGTATGACAAAATGTTAAAGCCAACTTTCAATAACACCTCTGAAGCCAACAGTAAAAAGTCTATAAGAAAGCATAAGAGGAATAGCAGTAGTATTTCCAACTTAAAATCAGGATTCATCAATAAAACTTTTTCAATAAACAAAATTTTCACAAAATTTCATGCCAAAATCCCTATCAAAACATACGCAAAATTAACTTTTTCATTTTGAGTCTATTATACTCATCCACATTTCAGTTCTGCAAAAACATGTAAACTAAATTTTTTGAATTATGGGTGGTCGTGTGTACGTATAATGAAAAACCATTTATGATAAAATGTATACAATATATTACTGTAAAAAAGCAAGACAGAATAACCATGGAATGGTTGAATGCTCTCTTTCACATGAACTGTTAAAGACACTGAGCCAGAATGTATGAACAATTATTTTCACAATCTTCACTTGATGACAATTTTACAATTACATTAAGAAGCCACACTTTGTGACTTAAAACAGAGAACTGATCTTCTGTGTGCCTATATGAGTGTTTCCTAATTGCTGACACATTTACTGCTGTCATTGTAAGCTTTATATCAAGTGTTTTGAAAAAAGGTAATCTCAACATACAGACTGGAGTTACACCTAAACTTCACACCTTAGGGAGATAGTTGTTATTCTCTGCTATTTCAGCAAAAGGTCTTAATTTTTTTTTTAATGTCAACACAGGCCCTTAACCCAAAACATCGTTCTTCTGAATGAATGTGAATTGACTGTTATGAGAATCCATGCCTGCAGAAAGAACAGTTGTGCATCTGCAGACCTATTTCAAGTCATTTTGGCAGAGATACTACCTACTTATTTTGATGGGTCTATGAATACTCCACTGAAGCAGGAATGATTCTAATAGAATCAAAACAAGACAAGACACACACACACACACACACACACACACACACACACACAACACTTTAAAAACAAAAACGAAAAGAAAACTAAGCAAACCTGAGTGGATGCATGAACATTTCGGAAGTCTCAGAAGGACTCAGGCATCATGCATGGTTTTTAGACTGCTGGGTTACTTCACGTAAGTGTTCACGGTGCACATGACTTCACGGCCTTGCACTCTAGTTGCATGCTCAGGCCACATTAGATACTATCTCTGTTCTACACACAACACAGAGGCATACACACACTCGCTCTCTCTACCAGCCCGAGCTGTTTCCAATTTCAGAGGCCCGCTCAGCGTGTAGCCCATGCCCATCCCTTCTCTGCTCAGTCCTGACCCCAGGAGTGTAGGGTCGCTTACATTAAGTAGGGATACTACCTAAACCTGGTATATCTGCTGCTACTTCATCCTTCCAGAATGCATAGCATGGTTCCTTCTCCACTCCATGAGTACAACGGAGACGACGGATTCCCGGGTGCGAGAGAGGAGACCACTACTTGCCCCCTTCCACACCCCAGGCATCCCGGCTTCTCTCCTCCAGAAACCCCAGAGCTACTGCCGCCTGGAGTCTGTGATCCCGGGGCGGGGGAGAAGAGCCAATGATAGGAATCAAATAGCCCGTTCAGAAGCGGGTGCCAGGGGCACGGAAGGAGCGAGCCGGGTGAAGTTACCAGCACCAGGGAGGTGTGCTTCGGCCGGGCACCGTTTGAGAGCACTGACAGGTCGGCAGGGGAAGGCTGGGGGCGGCGAGGGAGGCTGGGGAACAGCTTTTCCTGTCTTCCTCAGGGCCTGGCGGGGAATCCCGGGGCTGCGGCGGCGGCGGCGGGGCTCGCGGGTCGTCCCCCGCCTCCCACGCCCCCCGCGCCCCCGGCGCGTGCCCTCCGCCGCCCCCTCTGTGCGGCCGCTCCCGCCCCGCGCGGAAGGAAGCGCCGGGCCCCCCCCACGCTCTCCCGCTCTCTCGCGAGTCCTGTGCAGGCCCTTTTCGGGGGGAGGGGAAGGGGGAGGGGGCGCAGGGGGAATTGCTGCAATAGAGCGCCGAGAGAACCCGGCCCGGGCGAGGCAGGCGGTGGAAAGCCACGGCCACATAAAAATGCCATATTAATTTTTTAAAAGCCATAAATCACCCCTCCCTCTGCAAACGAAAACCATAAACCCGATCCCATGCAAGCCCGCGAGCAGCCACCCACTTCCTATTTCTGTCACAGCAGCTACACCCTGCCAGCAGCCAACCCCCCACCCCCGGGCGCCCCCTCCCGCCACCGCCACCCCCGCCACCCCCGCCCCTCGGCTCAGCCATTTGCCAACTGACGCCCCCGTAAATACAAACGCCCCAAGTGGGGCTGGGTGGGAAGCGTGGGGGAAGGGCGCGCCAGAGAGGGGGGATTCGAGGGTTGCACAATATCCTAGAAGGTCCGTGGCTGGAGCGAGGAGAGAACCCTAGGCTGGGGGAGGGGAGGCGAGCCTCCCGGGTGCCTGCGGCACACGGTGCACCCAGGCGATCGCAGCGCGCCGCTTACCTTTCACCACCCTGTCGGTCGTCGACAACTTGGGATCAATTGCCTTGGGCTCGGACATCTCCAGCCGCCGGGGGACAGCGACGCGCTGCTCGTCCGTCCTACTGCACACCCCGACCGGACCGGCGGGCCAGACACTCAACGCCGCCGCCGCCGCCGCGCTGCAAACCGCTTGGCTGGAGGTTCTGGGCTCTGGGCTGGCTTTAAAGTTACTGCCTTCTCCGCGCGTCCCTCCTCCTCCGCCGCCGCCGCCGCCGCCTTCACTCCTCCGCCGCCGCCGCCAGCCCTGCCGACTCTGCTCCGGGCTGCGCGTGTGTGGTGGTTATTTATTTATTTTCTAAGCACGCCTCTCGGTTCTTCTTTTATTCTTGGGGGAAGGGGGATGGGGTGGGGAAGCGCACACACGAGCACCCACCCTGGCACAGAGATCGGGCACCGCGGAATGGAGCCCCAAGCGCGCACACTGCTGGGATTAAGACCGATCACATGGGGAGGGCCGGGGGCGAGGAAGGAGAGGCAGGGCCGCCGATGTCAGTGCCACTATGCCGCGCCTCGGCGTCCCCGGCGGCGGAGAGGCGGCCGCCGCTGCTGCTGCTGCTGCTGCTGCCGCCGCTGCTTCCCCACACCGAGCGCCGCTGCTGATCAGCGGCCGCCGGAGACGTCCCGCCGCCTCGCTCGCCCGCTCTTGCCTCTGCCTCCCCGCGCCGCTCCTTCACTCACACAGGCACAGCCACGGAGCTCGGCAGACTCAGTCCCCGGCGCAATCTACCCTCCGCCGCCACCGCCGCCTCGGCCGCCGCCGCCGCCGCCGCTGCCGCCACCGCTCCCGCCTCCGCCTCCTCCCCTTCCTCCTCCCGGCCCCCGCCTCCAGCGCCGGAGCAGCCTCCTCCTCCCCGCGGAGCCCGCCCCCTGCTGCCCCCGACGTTGAAGCTCTGGGCGCTCATTGGATAGCATGAGCGTCACTCACTGCCAGCGGCGCCCTCCCCTCTGGCCCCGCCTCCCGCTCCTCCTCGTCGTCCCCGCCCCTCGCTCTGTTTTCTCCGGGCTGCCAGTTCGGCGGGCCTGCTGCTTCCAGCGCCCAGTCCCCCGCTCAGGTGTCACTGTTGCTGGCATCCCGGGATTAGGGAAGGAGAAATGGGCAGGGGGTAGCGGCTGGGAGGAGAGAGGCTCTGCCATGCCACCCCCCTAGCCCCATTTGGCCTCCTTCCCTGGACCGCGCACACACACACCCCGCGCCGCTTTGGCAACCGTGCCTTGCCGGCTTGGGTTAAGCCGCAGTGTGAGTAGCCAAGTGCGGAGGGTGTCTCCGGGTGTGTGCGTGCGTGGCCCGCGGGAGGGCAAGAAGGGAGGAGGCGAAGAGAGCAGGGAAGGGGGTGGGGGTGAAAGGCGGCCGAGGAAGGGCGGAGGAAGGAAGAGCGCGAGGAGCTCCGGGCCGCCTCACAGCTGCTGTCGCTGCCGCAGCTGTCCGGAGAGAATAGCCGAAACGGCGACGAATCAACTACTTACCTCGGGGATACGGGCTCCGCTGTGATGGGTGTACTGCCTGTTTTGCTGTTGGGGCTTTTGTGGGCGGCTGGGGAGGGGTGTCGTGATTATTAATGTTTCCCACCCGTGCATCCACACCTTTGGTGGCGGGAGCCGCTTCGAGCGTCTCCGGCCGGGGACGTGGCGGGGCTTGGGAGAGGGCCGCCCACTGAGGATGGGGACGAGAGGACACGCGACCCCGGGCAACTCTTGAGTTACCTGAGGTAGTAGCCCTAGGCGGGGGAAGGCGGGGGGCGGGGGGGAGAGAAACATCGGAGAGTGTCGCCTTTTTTTACTGTTGACACTGCACATCCAGTGACTGGTCGGGACTGGTGACACGACAGCCGCCTTGCCAGCTCCAGTGCATCATCCGATACCCACTTGGTGCTCCTAATACCTGCAGGGCACTGCAGCCCAAGGCGGGTCCCCATTCTGCTGTCCTCGCTCTGGAAGGAGTGTGAAGGAGAGAATGGGAAGCTAAAGAGTGACTATGACCCAAATGTTCCCTTCTGGCCTGCTAATGAGGAGCAGGTTTCCCTCAGCAAGAAGGTCACCTCGCCACAGCCCATCTCCCCAACCAACCTCAGCCCTAAGGACCCAGGACTAGCAGAGGTCGGGGACAGGGATTAAAGTTCAAACTCGAAGTTTTAGAAATTGGCTGATGACCCGAATGTGGCTTCAGCAGTGTGGCCTGCAAGGAATAGAAGCTCACAGTTGGAGGTTAGGTGAGGCTCCTGGGGGCTTTTTTAGCCAAAGGCTATGTCCCGGGCTCAGGGAGACTGCCACTGGGTCCAAATTCTTCTGCCCAATTCACAACTCTTAAGATTGTTATGTGGTAATTAGGCAAACAGTACATTCAATCAATATGAATCCTGCTTTTTTTATATGCCAGACACTGTGATAGGTAGTTCGTGTGGGGTGGGGGAAGATTGAAAAGGGCCCTTGCGGGTAATGAAGCCTAGTCCGGTAGAACGGCCATGAAGATGTGAGTTCTAAGAGGACAGGGTATTGCCTCAAGAAGGAGTTGTTGAAAACAGCCTCTTGAGCACAGGCAGAGCTAGTTGCTAAGGCAGATTTGGGAAGTTGGCCCCTAGCCAGATGGCACAGAGCGAGGCAAGGATGCCAAGACCTGTAGATGAAGAAGAGGGCCTGCTTGAGGAAAGATCAGGAAACCATGTCCAGGGATGCTCGCTTCTAACTCGGCAATGTTATTTCCCTCATACTGCAAGCAGAGATACAGTTCCCACCGATATTTGGACTCACTTTTCAGATACTGGGGGAAGAAAAACCAAAAAACACTTAGTACCAAGCTCAGAGGCTTAAAATGTCAGCACCATAGAATAGTTTTATGATGCAGATAGGAAATAAAGGCACACCTTTCAGGCACACCCTTCAGTCCGCTACAAGTCTAGGACACCTCCTAGCTGAAATATGTGTGGGAAAAAATGTTATGAATCATAATCACTTTACAACACATCTTATTATCATCAGGTGCCTTTAATGCATGTGTCTGGTTCCACACTGTTGCAACACAGACACATCTTCCTAATGAAAACTGGACCCTACCCCAAGGAAAACTAGACAGCAGCTTATTAGCTAGAGACCAATTATGTCCACATAGCGGGCCTAGTGACAGAGCCAAATCAAAGGTGTTTTTTTAGATGTCTTACTATCTCCTACTGTCATGTTTCTTTTTATCCTGTTAGACTGCCCAGAATGTCTTTGATTATATTACCATTTGCATCAGCTCACCTTAGACATGGAAGTTACATTTTCAAGAAGTTACTGCAATTCCTGGATACTGAATTCAACAATATCCTCTGTTTGTGAAGAAAAAGAGAAAAAGTAAAAAAAAAAAAAAAACTTGGCAAAAAAACCTTACTGTCTACCAAAAATTACATTTCCCCTTCTTTAGTATTCTCTCTGTGAAGCATCTAGCTAGGTAAGGACTCTGTTTCCCACCTGCACCTGCTTGCATCTGAGTGGGTCCATGTGACTAGTTCTGGGCAATAAGCTGTGGGCTGAAGTGTTTCATCACTTTTTGACTAGGCAGTTAAGCAGCAGATATGCATTCTCCAGCCTATGGGCTCCCATCTCTAGCTGAATTCAGAGACTTCTAGGGTCCTAGAGAGGGTGTAACCTCACATGGAAAGAGCTGAGTGCCTAAACTACCACATAGAGCAATGCTGCCCATTTACTAGAAATATCACTTTAGCACACAAAAGTTACTATGTTAGTTCAAAAGTAAAGCCCAGAATTTATTGTGTATCTGTTATATAACAGAATTACCAGGAGACTAAAAATATGTTTACTTTTTAATACATAAACATAAAACTTTTATAAATGAATTATTGATTTGCCAGTTGTATTTTGAACACCTGTCCTGTGCTAGGTAGTACATAAATGTATAAAGGATTCAAGACTAATCCTTTCATTCAAATATCTCAAAGTATATGTGAGTTGCACATATACTCTCTATGCAAATATTTAGGTATAAGGTGCTACTTCGTCTAAAGTAATTATGAATACAAATATATATGAAAAAAAGAAAATATTGAGAATTTGGAGTCACCTATGCATTCAAATGCTGCAAGTCACACTTTACCTCCATTGGTACAAATTATAGTAAATGGGTAAAATGTTAATTTACTATTACGTGTTCTACTACATCTAGAAACTTTTTAAAGGAAAAAAAGTAAAGATATTTCATTTTATATCCTGCTTTGAAAATAACTGGCTTTGAAATTTTTTACTTTCCTTTTGGTTCTTGATGAAGTACTATCATTTTGACAGTAAGAGTTCAATAGTAGCTTCTGGTTTTGACTCATCTGAGACACACACTTCATTCTGAGTAGCTGATGGCAGACAGCAGTATGTCTGTCCTATTCTCACCTGAGTTGATGGAGCAAAGTGCTGAAGAAACTGCAGAGTATACAGCCAATCCTGATGGAGCCATGAATCTGTATGAAAGTTAGATTTATTATCTTAAAGCTAATTCCTCTGACATTCACATTTAACATGTTCTACCCTGTTCTCTATAGAAGCTCTATGAAAAATATATTCAAAATGGATTTTATTTGAGATTTATAATAAAAAGCCTTATTATTATTTAGCTTTTGGATTGCCCTTGAAATTTTATTGAACCATGTTTTTTTTCCAGAAGTTAGTTTTACTCATTAGGGAAAGTTGTTATAACTAATGTGTTTAGGAGTAAATGTGTTTGTTCATTTTGGTTTTTTTTTTTCAGTCAGGAACCAAACTATAACTTATGGAATTGTATGCTAAGTTCAATATAGAGAAGATATGTTTTATGTAAAATTTGACAAGACTATGGGCAATCATTAATTTGCATTTAATAAATATATTTGTTTTATTTATATTTGTATCATCATTTCATATCCCAATTCTGGGCACAGAATATGTGCTCAACAAATTTTGCTGAATGAACTTAAAAAGTATGTTGACATCCAATATATGACAGGTTAAGTACCATAGTGCATACTCAGGGATATTTCAATATTCCTAATATAAGAAATATATATTAATATATTATTAATGTATGTATGTGTATATTTATATATACATACACACACACTATAAAAGAGAAATCTTATAGCTCTTTCTCCTAGATAGTTTTAATTCTAACTTTATAATTAACTTAAAAATTATGAATAGATTAAGGGTGTCATGTCATACATGTTTACATTTAAAATAGCTATATGTATGCTATTATATTGAACATCCAAGAACTATCCATGCTGTAGAACTGTATGTATTCTGGCTTTTCTAAACTCAAAATTTCAGAATATTTGACCTGAAATGAACTGGAGTTTACACTTGAAGTGCTTTGACAACAACTTCAAGAACTATTGCAAACCGCTTAGTAATCAAATTAAAGATAACACATTGTGGAAGACCTGGTAAATCAATTTAGGACAAACTTTGTCAAGCCCTCTAAAAGCACATTTGCATATACCAAATCAATATAGTAATTAGAAATGAGTTTTACTGTTCAAAGCCAGCAGAAATTTAACCTTACTCCAAGTAAGTTTTGCCCATTATTGATGGGAAATTCATGAATTTGCAAGTATTTTATTAAAAAGGAATCTTGCCGTCAGACTAGCCATCTATTTACTTTGGGTTAATGGTATTTTATTTTGCTAGTATTCATGGTTATTGGAAAGCCTATATTTCATAGGCATTTATTGAACACCTACACATATCAGACACTGGGAATATGACATGGAAATATCAAGTCTCACCATTCATAAACTTTACATTCCAGTGAGGAGAGACACACAACAAAAAGGAACAATTACACATGCAGAACATGTTGGATGAGCTAAGTGGTAAGAATCATGTATACTGGTAACAGCAATGAAAGGAATGGTTGGCAAAGTAGTGTTACTCACTGTTGTAGACAGATTGTTTA